TGACTCTTGCTCATTTTAATTATCTGTATTTCGTTTTATGTTCCCCTTTTCCCCTTTTGAATTGTTCGCCGCCCTGAGTCCCTCCCGGAGAAGGGCGGCATACAAATAATAAAATTCAATTCAATTCAATTCAATAGTTGAGTAACACAAAAAGAAACTACTAGTAAGCATAGTTACATAAGCATAAATAAAAACTTTTTATTATCGTATAAACTTTTTCCTTATTGTTTAGTCCTTGGACTTATGAATGACAGCTCGGCAACAGCCAGGCGCGCCGGAACCAATCAGGTGCGACCTGCTGAGCATGGGCTGTCAAACGTGCGGCTATTGGCCTCCCTGCTTGACAGCTATTTATCAAGCAGGGAGGGGATCCCTGTCTACCTCTGTTCTTGCTTGTGAATGCCCTGTTAATAAACGGTTGTATTTAACTTACCTCAGATGCCTCCTGCCTCATCCTTCTAGGGGATTTAACACTGGCGACGAAGGTGGGATCCACAGGCTCTGAGCTACAACCTAAAGAGGCAAACAAGCATATTTTGTTAGGCGCTCCGCACTGCCGGAAAATCTAACAGCATCTAGCTATGGCCGCAATTTCTCCGTTCGCTCCATTCGGAACTGGCGGCGAATTGTGGGATGCTTCCTTATAGCTAACAACCGGCAGGGGTATTCGCAGGCTTGGAAGTGCAGCTTATTCCTCAGTGCCTGCGGCCCCGAGTTGTTCGGGACGGCCCGCTCCTTCGCGGCCCTGAGAGCTTAGCTGGGACGAACTCATGGAGGGGCTTAAAAATCACTATGCCCCAATTCCCTCAAAGATCACACGCCGGCACACTTTCCGCTGGTGTGTTCAAAAGGAATCTGAATCTATCAGCCAGTTCCTCCAGTTGCTCCGGGTTGCCGCCATCCAGTGTAAATTTCCAGACCTGGAGGACAACTTGGTAGAGCAATTTGTGTGCGGGGTGAAGGACATCCGCCTCAAGCGGCGCCTCCTTTCCAGGGCAGACATAACCCTGCCACAGGCAGTCGACGAGGCTAGGGCCGCGGAACTCTCAGAGCAGTCAACAGTGGAGATGACCAGTTACTTGCCTCTGTTGTCTTCCCCTCAATCAACCTCCCTGCCTTCTCCGCAATCAACCTGCCTGATCGACGAGCTGGCTCCATTGCCGGACCCGGTCTACGAGGACCAGGTCGACCGCCTCCAAGCCATTTCCTGGAGACAACAGCCTCCTCAAGCCCATGCCGCTGCAGCGGCTGCCACCTGCCTCGGCTGCGGCAGCAATCATGCCAGAGTGTCGTGCCCTTTCAAAGCTTTGCTGTGCCACCATTGCGGCAAGAAGGGGCACCTGGCGCAAGTCTGCCGGGCCACCCTGCCACCTCCAGCTCTAGCCAAACCGTCTCTACCGGCCTACAGTTCTCCTGTACCACCCAGGAAACAGCAGCCCCGCCGCCAGCAGAACTGCCGCGCTGATTGCTTCGCCTTGGAAGAAAACCTCCCTGCCACCCCTGCAGTATCGGTCAGCCACGCCATGGCTGGTACGAAGAAAATTACTGTTACTGTCTCCATCGAGGGGTCACCCTGCCTCATGGAGGTGGACTTGGGGTCCTCCCGGTCTCTGCTGTCTTGGGCCACCTTCACCCGCCTGTGCCCGGGAGTCCCCAAAGCGCGGCTGTCTCCTCCAGGCAATGTGCTCAGAGACTACCAGGGGACACAAATTCATACCCTGGGCTGCTATGGAGTGTGGGTCGAGTACGGGGGAAAATGCTGTTTCCTACAGGT